CTTAAAATAAGAAGATCACACACAGCCGTGTTTAGTTCAGATTCTACTCAGTTTAAAAGAAAATACTTTCCGATGTAAAAATAATATCTTACTGTACCTACTAAATCTAACCTATCAAAAGAAAAATTCCCACATAAAGATTGTAAAAAAATGCGAATTTACTTCTAGAGCTATATTACCTAGGTAAAAGGTAGGTACCTAGTCAATGTTATAACTTAAGGCTTTTTCTATATCGGATGAAATAGGGACTATTAAAGTTACGCCCGTATTCACACGCGACGCTTACTTAATTGTAGTAGCAAATCGAACGCACAGCGTTGAATAGAGCTCTGTGATTGGTTCGTGTGTCACCCTGTGCGTCCACGCGCACTACGAGACCTCATAGTAATGTTTGTGAATACGGGCGTTAGGCTTACACGTGCATAATGCACAAAATGACGATAACTTAACTATTTTCAATATGCATTTAGAACAAAGTATTTATTATGAACTATAATTTACAAGCAATGGACATTACACTTACATACCATTAGTTTTAAATACCCAAGATAATAGTTCGCTGTGAAACTACAATCACCTACAATGCCTACAGTGGAAAAACAGTTTGTGACGTAACATTTAGATTCATCGACTAGATTCTGCCCATCGCTTCGCCCGCATCAAGCCTATGTGTTAATCCGACGTAATAACGCAATTAACAGTGTGCGTTAAGAAGTAACAACAGACAGAATCAAAACTTATCCACCTTCCCAAATGTTAGGTTTATTTAACTACTAATTTTGTCTGTTACCGAAAAACTAAATCGCGCGCGTCCATGTTTCAAAAACCGGGATAAAAACTATCCTATGTCCTTTCTACACTATCTCTATGCCAAATTTAATCAAAATCGCTTCAGTGGTTTAGGCATGAAAGCAAGACAGACAGACAGAGTTAATTAGTTATAGATATTACTCGTAGCATAATAATTGTAATACAATTATACAGTGTGAGTCACGTTAAAGTGTACATATGAAAATAGATGAAATTAGACCTATTTTTATCGACAAAAAAGAGGTCAAAATTTTTTTGAGATTTTTTTTTTATTTTTTTATAGAATGTTTTTTCTTCCAATTACTTATTGTAAAGAAAACGTAATAACTTTTAAACTAAGCGGTATATCCTGATAAAATAAAAAGAGTAATAATGCTTAATAACAGGCGATACTAAAAAAATACATAAAATGCACAAAAAAGGCCAACATATAATAAAAAATGATACTTTTTGAAAAAAATCTGCTGTTAAATTCGTGTTTTTTTGGTTATTTGATAAATTTCTCCAGAAAATGCCCCTATAACCGGTGGTTTTTATTACTTTGTATTATTTTCTATCGTATTACCTTCGTAAAAACAAAAATAGCATGTCTCTATCCCTATCACAACGTTTGCAATGATCGTTTGAACTAAGCCTCTCCGGGCGCGCCATTCAAAGCTTCGTTAACAACGAAACTGAAAATGGCTCTAGATTTGTAATTTTGATAAAGACAAGTTAGATTTCAAATAAAAACAAAAGATTTCGAAGTAAAATAAGCATTTTAGTTACAATTAAAATTGTCTCTACCTGTAGCGGAGAATAATGTTGTGGCAGGCCTTTGTTCAAACGATTATAGCAAATGTTTTGATAGGGATAGAGACATGCCATTTTTGGCTTTACAAAGATAATATGATAGAGAATAATACAAAGTAATAAAAACCACCTGTTATAGGGGCATTTTTTGGAGAAATTTATCAAATAACCAAAAAAACACGAATTTAAAGGCAGATTTTTTTCAAAAAAAATTTTTTTTTATCATTTGTTGGCATTTTTTGTATATTTTATGTATTTTTTTAGTATCGCCTGTTACTTAGCATTATTACTGTTTTTATTTTATCAGGATATATCGCTTAGTTTAAAAGTTATTACGTTTTCTTTACAATAAGTAATTGGAAGAAATAAAATTCTATAAAAAATTAAAAAAAAATCTCAAAAAAATTTTAACCTCTTTTTTGTCGATAAAAATAGGTCTAGTTTCATCTATTTTCATATGTACACTTTAACGTGACTCACACTGTATTTTATATCACGAAGATGGGGGGTACATAGGTCCTAATAAGCTCCTGTAACCTTTTAAATTGAAAATAATAAATACCTAGCTACCTGATAAAGGGGTCCCTACGATACCTGAATTGGCTTGACTTACTTTTGTGAAATCATAGATTTTAATTTCAACGAGAACTATTGAAATTGCATTAGGTACCTACCTTTGAGCGATGCCTTGTATCGATTCACCGAAAATTTGACTTTAACCTTATTTTTATTAATTTGTCAATTAAAATGGAATGTAGGTACGTAAATATAATTTATTTATAGCATAGAAGTACTAGTATTCTATATTCACAACACTTTGTATTTTCATTATAAATATTGAAATGAAATAGGTAAGTTTAAGTAGGTATACTTACCTCATAATAAGTAATAATTATTATTTAAAAAACCAGACACAAGACAACTCAGCCTTAGTGTTCACAAATGCAGTCGGAGGCATCATGACTAATTCTTTTGTTGGTGATATGTATTTGATGCCTCCGAATCTTTATAGTTAGTTACCTACCATACATTTTTGTAATCTACTAAAAAAACTTAAAAAGCTATTTCGATACCCCACTCGATAGGCTTTGAGAAAAAAAACTTTTTTGAAGACATTATGGCGCCTAAAATCCGCCATTTGTTTTTTTTTAATTTTATTAATATACCTAGCCAGTGTCACTCTCACGATTAAGACGAATCTAACGACAGTCTCACGCTAAAATCGGTCAAGCCATTTAGGCTGTAGGCCGTGCAAAGAAATATACATACACACATACACTCGAAAAACATAACCCTCCTTCTGACGCAGTCGGGTAATAAAAACTTAAGTAACTAAAACAGTTTTAACTGTAACATAAAAANCATTGAAAGCGGTAATAATAACGGATTAATTTATACGAGCAAGTTTGTTCTGAAATCGGGAGCGCGGACACGTCGTGGTAATCAATTTTTGACGACTTACGATTTTTTTAAAATTACTTATTTGACTATTATTAACTATCTCTGTGGTTTAACAACAAGAACCAAAGTTATACTATCAGATAAAAATATTTGTTACTAAAATATTATGATATTCGGGTACTTTTTGGCCCCGGACACGTGATTTTCTTGGCCGGTGGAATGACCCTACTTACGGACGTTGGACTATTTTTTACAGTAGAATTTTATGATTGTTTGAATAACATTTTCTTTATCTGCCCTCATGAAAATACATTTTCGGTTGCGTGTTTAGTGGACACGAGAACGGCCTACCGAGCGCGTTAATAATAACTTAACGAGTACATCTTCATAAATGTGTTACAGTATAAATGAAATAACAGAAAAATAAGTGATTTATTCACTGAATTTTAAAAATGATTTATTAAAATTCAGTGAAAAAATTAAATAAATACTTAAATCAAACGCGATCAATCACGATTTCACGGTTTAATATACTTTTAAACTAGTTTGTTGAACTTTAATCTTTTCTTTTGATAGTCCAACTATCTCTTGTGATAAGGAAAAAAACTAGATTGAAAAGTATCCTCATTTGTAGAAATGGCATGAGAAAAAGTAATCGCAGGTGGCAATTTTCTAAAAATGCACAAAAACTTAAAAATCTTGAAAACGGTGATATTTTTACTGGGGTCAAAATTGGACGTTAGGGAGACCATGGCGAGGCCTATAGATGGTTACAGGGTTATCCATTGTTTTTGGGACACCCTGTATACCATGGACATTAGCAAAAACAAAACAAAACTATGTGTAAAATGGGATTGAAAAAAACTGGTCCAAATTACCGGACTCTCCCTTAAGTTTAAGTAGGTATACTTACCTCATAATAAGTAATAATTATTATTTAAAAAACCCAAATGCGTAAAAATGAACTAAAAAGATAAAAACAAGACAACTCAGCCTTAGTGTTCACAAATGCAGTCGGAGGCATTATGACTAATTCTTTTGTTGGTGATATGTATTTGATGCCTCCGAAAGCCCCCCTCCGAATTACCTACCATACATTTTTGTAATCTACTTAAAAAACTTAAAAAGCCATTTCGATACCCCACTCGATAAGCTTTGAGAAAAAAAAATTTTTTTGAAGACATTATGGCGCCTAAAATCCGCAACTTGTTTTTTTTTTTTTTTTCAATTTTAATATACCTAGCCAGTGTCACGTTAAAATCGGTCAAGCCATTTAGGCTGTAGGCCGTGCCAAAGAAATATACATACACACATACACTCGAAAAACATAACCCTCCTTCTGACGCAGTCGGGTAATAAAAACTTAACTAACTAAACCAGTTTTAACTGTAACATAGAAAGTCTGCAGAGTGACTAAAGGTACAAATACACGTCTTGTCAAAAGAAGTCCACTCCACTTAGAGACCACATCTGACTTTGGGTGTTAATACTAAACCGATTTTGTTAGGTAGTAATCAAGTAAAAATCAAAAACATTGTAAGTGCAGCTCTTTATTTTCCATAGAACATCGCTATTAGATAAGCCTGCAGTGATGCTATCATTTTACATCTTTACACGGTTCAGGAGGGTTCTTGAACAAGGCGCAGACGTCTTTGAATAGATCCTCGTGTTTCCCTGTCCAGGGCTCTAGGTTGAGTTCGACGTGGGGCAAGGAAGTGTATTTTAACAGACTATACTCACCTAGAAATTCAAATATCCGGTCGCCTAGGTCACTCTTGGCACAGGATTTGATATTTGCCAAAACTTTATCGCTAATGTTCATTTTCGATCCACACTGCAACAGATGAGTGCAAAACAAGTGATTAGGAAATTACAAATTACCTAAGTGTCCTTAATGGCCTCGTTTATATTCTATCATCTATAGTATAAAACTACATAGTTTTAATCACTTAATATCTTAATTAAACTATATAAAATGAGTTTATAGATACCTCATCGACTGCATCATCGTTGGACCCATTTTCAGATCTTTCAAGATCCATCAAGCAGGTGTTGAAATGTATGCTTTTATATTCTTCTTCTTTTTCTTCTTGGGCGAAGTAGTAATGTGCACATCCGTGCAGTTTGTTCCCGTAACACTCAAGTTCTCCATGCTGGCACCAAAAGGTAAGTGTACCGTTGTAGTATTTAGTTGTCTGTAGAATAAAATGAAAACATATTTAGTTAAATCACATTTCATAATTAATTTGGTTTCAAACGTCACATCTACCTTAAAATCACCGTTATTGCACTGTTCACAAATTAAAGTGTATACAGGGTGTTTCTTGTAAGGTGTCAAGCCGAAGGCAGGTGATAGGTGAGGACTAGACCTATCGATTTCACCCCCATGTATGTTCTACGATTTTTCGTAGTTTAGAAGTTATCGTTAATTTTGTGATTTTTTTAAATTTTATGACCTAGTAGGCTTTAATTTTTTTTATCTTTTTTTTGGGTTGACTTTTCTCAGATTTCTTTTTTTTGACAGATTCCCTATTAATTGCAGATGTTTGAAAAAAATAATCACCTTCCTATCTTTGATGCAAGATACAAAATTTTTGCTAGAAACATATAAAAATATGCTTATAGCAGAACATTCTAAAATTTTCAACTTAAAAGTTTGAAAAAAAAAATAACTTCCATAGATCCAAAATTATTTTGGATTTTTTTTTTCAAACATCTGCAATTAATAGGGAATCTGTCAAAAAAAAGAAATCTGAGAAAAGTCAACCCAAAAAAAAAAGAAAAAAATTTAAGCCTACTAGGTCATAAAATTTGAAAAAATCACAAAATTAACGATAATTTCTAAACTACGAAAAATTGTAGAACATACATAGGGGTGAAATCGATAGGTCTAGTCCTCACCTATCACCTGCTTTCGGCTTGACACCTTACAAGAAACACCCTGTATATCAAATTTTAAAGTTAGACTCGTAGCAACTTTTTTCGTAAATATTAACTTACCGCGGCTTTTCCATATGGGATGGTGATAACGCTCAAGTGATCGCCAAGTTTGTGTATTAATTCAGAAAAATAAGTGGTATCGAATTGTCTGCAGCCCGGGCACATGGTCTCGTAGAATAGGTACACCAGAACAATCTCCTTAGAAACCTCATTATTTAGTTGAAAATTCTGAAACACATTTGAACCAACTTTTTAAATAGTAACAAATATGAGTTTGCAAAGACTATGGTTNATCCCTAACTATGGTTTGATGATACTTTTAGTATTAAACTAAACTAAAACACATTGCATAATCTAAAACATTTTTCTAGACCTTGTGCGGGACCGAAGAAGCGATATTTCCCATAAATTGTTGTAATCTATTTGTACGACCGTGTACTCGTACATCTGTGAAATAAATCAATTTAAAGGACCTATTGTAGATTTAATCTAATATTAAAGGTTACTATGTAATATCACACAATGTTTAGCATTAAAGTTTAAATAAATGTTAAAATTACGAACCCTTTGATTGTGTACTTCCAAACACAACAAAAGTTAAAGCAAAAAGCAAAAGATAATATGCAGCCATTGTAGACAACGGTGAATTGTATTCTTAGCAAGTAGAAATGAAGAATCCTTATATATGGTGTATTGTAGGTAATTACTTGTATAACAATGCAAATCATAAGTCAAATATTTATAGCCTGTAAATTATTTATTCTAATCGTTTGTTTCAGCGTTCCTCTGTACAATTTTATGCTTATTTTAATGTTAGTAATATAATTGTCATTAATAGATTTCAATAAAATTGTGAACAAAATAAAACGGATGATTATATTTATATCCAACCTATATATTGGCTCTAGTTCCACTATAAACATTTCCAAACATGATAGCCAGCACATCAAGCTAAACACTGTGGCAAATGTATGATAGTCTGATGTGCTGTAATCTGTACATATCTAGAATATGACATAAAATATCTAGGTATATGTATTTACTAGCGGCCGCTCGCGACTTCGTACGCGTGGATCCCGTTTTACCCCCGTTTCATCTATCTTACGCGGTTTAGATTTTTTCATACAAATGTTTTTTCCCGCTAACTCCCGTTCGCGTAGGAACTTTGCAATATCCTATTGTAACTAAGCTTTAAGTTTACTAAGGTAGTACAGCTGCATGTCAAATTTCAAGCGTCTAACTTAAGCGGTTTAGATTTTTCATACAAAAGGATTTTCCCGCTAATTCCCGTTCCCGTGGGAATTTCGGGAATTCCTTTCTTAGTGCTCATCTACGGTACCTAAGCTACGTCCCTTCCAAATTACAAGTGCCTACGTTTAGCCGTTTAGGCTGTGCGTTGATATGTCAGTCAGTCAGTTTCTCCTTTTATATATGTATTTAGATTTGCACTGCCCGGTAGGTCGCATTCAGAGCTCCGTTTTATTTGATGAAAGACGATGCCTCGCTGTTCGTTTGTATCTACATTAACGAGCTTTTTTCTNCGACTCCTCCTCCTTTTAACATGCCAACATAACTCAACACATGCTTATCGATAGTTAAAATATAAGGGAAACATTGATACTGCTTTCGCGAATTAAATCTGAAGTCTCAACGAATAATTACTTACATAATCTTATTCTATCAATCAATAGCACATATAATGGGCCGTAAATTGTATGACCGATATCTTTAAAACGTCAACGATCAACCACATCTCACTGATACAAACAAAGCGATTTGCGTCTACGTTTATCATGCAGACTGAAAGGGGTGATGGAAATCTCTACAAGTTCCATCTACATAGTCCGAGCACAAAATAGAGATAGTCCGAATCTGTCTTTCCTATTTAATGTAACCTGGGTACTTTTAAGACTAGTATTCCGTCTTATACCTCTTCATCACTCACCCACCATCAAAGGAGACGGAGGAAAAATGCAGACTCAGTTACAAATTCATATCATCAAGTCGCCCTTAAATACCAAAGTTACTTTGTCTGTCTGTTGAATAGATGAATACAGATATACTTAAATAGTAGAAGAAATATGCAGTTAAGTAACCAATCCGCAGATCAGCGACTCGAGTTGCGACAGAATTGATATTCAAACTACCTGACAACAATAAGATAATAGGTAGCTGAAAGCTGTTTCAGGAGCCGCCGCGCTTGCAAAGCTTTCAAGTTTTCTGAATCTATGAAATATATTATAATCCTACCTAATATTGTAAATTTAAAAGTTTGTGAAGATGGATAATTGTTAGGTAGGTACGGTTTAAATAAATAAATATCCTTGGACATTAAATTGGACAAATATTCTGTGGTTGTGCCTTTAAATAAATAAATAAATTTTACACTGCCCCTGTAGTCCCAAACTAAGCAAAGGTTATCCTACTATGGATACTAGACAACAGATATAAACATAGCTATATACTTTTTTTTGTAAATACACACATTTTATATATAGTAAAACCCAGACCCGTCACAGACATTAAAATATGTACATCATTTTAATTGCCCGGCCGGGAATCGAACCCGGGACCTAAGGATCGGCATAGTAGTCCATTCTGAACCACTACATCAAACGGCCGACGAATCTAATGAAAGGTTGAGGNAGCGACTCGAGTTGCGACAGAATTGATATTCAAACTACCTGACAACAATAAGATAATAGGTAGCTGAAAGCTGTTTCAGGAGCCGCCGCGCTTGCAAAGCTTTCAAGTTTTCTGAATCTATGAAATAGATTATAATCCTACCTACATAATATTGTAAATTTAAAAGTTTGTGAAGATGGATAATTGTTAGATAGGTACGGTTTCTCGCAAAATAAATAAAATAAATAATAAATAAATATCCTTGGACATTAAATTGGACAAATATTCTGTGGTTGTGCCTTTAAATAAATAAATAAATTTTACACTGCGCCTCTAGTCCTAAACTAAGCAAAGCTTGTACTATGGATAGTAGACAACAGATATAAACGTACTTATATTTTTTTTTGTAAATTTTATACATAGTAACACCCAGACCCGTCACAGACATTAAAATATGTACATCATTTTAATTTTTGCCTGGCCGGGAATCGAACCCGGGACCTAAGACTCGGCAGTAGTCCGTTCTGAATCACCACACCAAACGGCCGACGAATCTAATGAAAGGTTGAGGAAAGTAATATTATTGTTTATACTGAATAACATAGGATATTAATACCTAATTTATAATGATATTGAGTGAACCTGAATTTCAAAAGCAACCGTGTATTCTGTGACTATAGTATAAATTACACTTAACACGTTTTGTATAAAAACACATTAAAATAACTAAATTCTACGTGATTCAAATATCTATCATTTCTTTCAACAAATAGTTTGTGTAAATGTCACAGTTCTTTAGGTATGCAAAGCTTTATTAGCAGTGAATTCAGAACATACCAATAAATACTTATGTTTAATTATGAGTTAGGAATACCAACTACTTAAGAATTTCATGTTTTGTCCTCATGACTCCACGTTCTTTAACAAAGTAAAATACCTAATTAGTATATAAAGTGTATTCAGTAGTTCTACTGTCAGTATCAAAGTAAAACGTTACTTGAACACTATTTAAGACGTCATACAAAATAATGTTTTTTAATTTTATTGCATTTGCCACTATTCTGGCTTTTATAAATTGTCGAGAAATCGGTACGTGATTAAAACTTCTTAATTAATTAATTTATTTATTTATTTTTAAACCTTAAACCTTCATTTACAAGTCATCTCGTAAGTTACCAATACTATTTATATCTAAAATTGACTAGTCTAAGTTTCCCTCTGTTTTATTATAGATCCTCTTTCAAAATGGGGCAGTCTTAACAAACTTATTAAAATTAGCGGAGTTGACGAGCTGATGTACAACCAGGTAGATATTATAAATTAATATAATTTTATCCTGACCGTTATCATGAAAACAACTTATAGAGTTTTTATACATTATTTTGTATGAAGCTTGCTTTATTTTTATTAAGGTGATTTTGTTTGAATCTAGCTCACAGTGCAAGTTGATACACCAACTATACATTTGTACTACGAAGTTCACTGTCCCGGATGTATAGAGTTCGACACGACACAGTTGAAAGAAGTTATTGAAGTGTTGCACCAGTATGTGGACGTCCACACTTATCCTTACGGACATGCTAGGGTAAGTTTTCAAACAAAATCATAATAATATACTTACGTATAGTAGAGCAGGCTTTAACCCGAAATATAAAACAAAAATACTAATCTTTCCTCATGTAATATTCGTACAGATTGACAATAGGTTTGAATCATGTATTTTCAGACAGTTAAGCATGAAGATGGCACTGTAGAAGTGACCTGCCAGCACGGACCAGCTGAGTGCTACGGAAATATGCTTCACGCATGCGCGTTAGACATCATAGCTAACGGCACTGAAGCTTTGCTTTTCAACGCTTGCATGATGGGCCAATACAGCAATGACAAAAGTGCAGATAAGGTAAACTTTGAACAAGCAAACTTCGGTACTATTTTCAGCATCATTAATAACAGTTAAAACACATAATAAGTGTTTTAACTGTTATTAATGATGCTGAAAATAGTACCAGTATATGGTCATCACAAAAATCGACCCACCTACGTTTTACAGGAAAAGTCGTTTCTACTGACACAATCATGGTGCCCCAACAATATTGGTGTTATTTGAAAGCCCAATAAATACCCTTAAAGAAAAACACATTTAATTTCTTATTAAACGATTATAAACGATTAACATATACAATAAATGTGACTTGAAAAAAGACTTCACTTTGGGCTCACCTCTGGGATCAATTAGACCAATTTTTATGGTTATAAAACCAAATAATGATCTCACGTGTCCTCTTTAACAGATGGATAGCGATTAATCCCAACTTAACAGTTTTATAGCCATAAAATTTGGGTCAAGCGTAACTACCTATTTTTTGAAGAAGTGACTCTGGATTCTTCTACAGACACATTTTTTTGGGGTAAAAACCTTTCCTTTAATGAAATGAAGTTTAGAACTAGGCTTTTAAATGGTGCCAATATTGGTGGGAAGTGGGGATGTATACGTTTGAAAGTGCTTGTCGCGGAAGGGTCGATTTTTGTGATGACCAGTGTATAATCAGGCTGCACTACCGCCTTCAGCATTCTCTGACTAAGAGATTTCGCTATACATGACAAAACAATTGTGATCAGCGCAAACTTCTTCACCAGAAATAAACGCATTTTACTTGAGCGGAGTCCATGGATATTTATTAATTACTAGCGGTCGCCCGCGACTTCGTACGCGTGGATCCCGTTTTACCCCCTTCATTTATCTTACGCGGTTTAGATTTTTTCATACAAATGTTTTTTCCCGCTAACTCCCGTTCCCGTGGGAATTTTGCAATATCCTGTTGTAACTAAGCTTTTAGTTTACTAAGATACCTGCATGCCAAATTTCAAGCGTCTAAATTAAGCGGTTTAGATTTTTCATACAAAAGGATTTTCCCGCTAATTCTCATTCCCATGGGAATTTTGCAATATCCTAATGTAACTAAGCTTTAAGTTTACTAAGATACCTGCATGCCAAATTTCAAGCGTCTAACTTAAGCGGTTTAGATTTTTCATACAAAAGGATTTTCCAGATAATTCCCGTTCCCGTGGGAATTTTGCAATATCCTGTTGTAACTAAGCTTTAGGTTTACTAAGATACTTGCATGCCAAATTTCAAGCGTCTAACTTAAGCGGTTTAGATTTTTCATACAAAAGGGTTTTCCCGCTAATTCCCGTTCCCGTGGGAATTTCTAAGTATACTATAACCTGCCCAGGAGTACGAAGAATAATTGTACCAAGTTTCGTTAAAATCCGTCTAGAAGTTTTTGTTTCTATAAGGAACATACAGACGGACAGACGACAGACAGACAGAGAGACAGACAGACAGACAAAAATTTTACTGATTGCATCAAGGAACTTATATAAGTTCCTTGGATTGCATTTTTGGCATCAGTATCGATCACTTATCACCCCCTGATAGTTATTTTGGAAATACATTTCTTCTTCTATTTTGGAATCGACATCTCTACAGATTATTTATTAATGTTTACAATTTTATTTCAGTGTGGTGAAAAGATGAACATCAATGCAAGCCCAATAAAGGACTGTGCGAAGAGCCAGAAAGGCACCGATCTCCTTGTTCACTATGGTGAAGAGAGCAAGAAAGCAGGTTTCCAATACGTCCCCTACGTCCTTCTGAATGGGGAAGAGTGGAGAGGGAAAAGCTTATTGAAAGCTGTGTGTGCATCATTCAAAAACCCGCCTGAACCTTGTACACAATAGTAAAGTTTACGATGAAATATATGTTTAGAAATACTTTTAAACTGTCATTTTTAGGGTTCCGTAGCCAAATGGCAAAAAACGGAACCCTTATAGATTCGTCATGTCTGTCTGTCTGTCCGTCTGTCCGTCCGTATGTCACAGCCATTTTTTTCCGAAACTATAAGAGCTATACTGTTGAAATTTGGTAGGTACCTAGATGTATTATGTGAACCGCATTAAGATTTTGATGCAAAAATAAAAAATAATAATAAATACTTAGAACTGAAACTCAAAAATTTTTTTTCATCAAACATACCTGTGGGGTACCTATCTATGGATAGGTCTTCAAAAATGATATCGAGGTTTCTAAAATATTTTTTTTCTAAACCGAATAGTATGCGTGACAGACGCTTCCAAAGTGGAAAAAAGTTGGTCCCCCCCCCCCCCTCTAACTTCTAAAATAAGAAAATGAAAAATCTAAAAAAAACATATGATGTACATTACTATAAAAACTACCAACGAAAATTGTTTTGAACGAGATCTAGTAAGTAGTTTTTTTTTAATACCTCGTAAATCGTAAACCGCTTATTACCGCGTAATCTTTCATACAAACAACTTAAATTAAAAAAAACATAAATCAATGGTACGGAACCCTTTGTGCGTGAGTCCGGTTTTTTTATATAATATCCTTGGGATTTGTACATGTGTAATAAATAAATTCATTTTACCAATATAAATGTGAATGATTAATGTTAATTAAATATTGGCAATGGGCAGGGCACATAGTACGCAGAACTGACGGCCGATGGGGCAGAAAGGTTCTGGAATGGAGGCCGCGTACCGGAAAACGCAGCGTGGGACGTCCACCTACAAGGTGGACCGACGACATCGTAAAGGTAGCAGGGAAGCGCTGGACGCAGACCGCTGCCAATCGATCAACATGGAAAGCATTGGGGGAGGCCTATGTTCAGCAGTGGACGTCCTATGGCTGAAATGATGATGATGATGATGATGAATTAAATATTAATGTCACTTGAATCAGATTATAATCACAATTATACGTAGTTAAGTAAATAGGTAGTCTATACTTATTGCGCACTTAGACCAGCAGACATCATAACATTGATATTTCTCCAATGCAAAATTAATTTGTAGTAATTTCCTTATCTAAATTACGCACACAACTTCATATGAAATACATAATATAAAATAATATGACCATTTCTGAACTTAATCTAATATGTCGAATCACATTAATTTATTATGAAGTACCATATTATGAATACATTCCAGTGTTATTGCCAGTGTATTATCACACACATATGAGAAAACACGTTCATTAAGTGGAGATAACAATAATATAATGTTCCTACGCCAGTTTATATTGTTTGCTACTGTTTTAGTTATTACGAATTCTCAGGATATTGGTACGTATTAAATTTTAAATTTAATGACATTCAGTGAACTTAATTCGAACCTGAAAAGATTGCTTTTCCTATTACAGAAATTCTCTCCAATGCGTTAGATAGTGTGAATACGCCGATAAAAGTCATCGAGGCTGATTTCATTTTTATTAAAGAAAAGGTAAACAAATGGTATAACCACAGAACATAGTTCTATGTTCTGTGGGTATAACTAACTATCGCCTGAACATTTGCGCGTATCAAAAATATTATTTTAGTTTAAATTTAGTTCTTTGAGTAATGATATGTTATTGGGTTTATTTCTTATCTAAAACTCTAATTAGCACTTATCAGCGGAAGTGTGGGTTAAACTTTATTTTGTTTCCGACGCATCTATCAAATCCCTACTAATACATACATTATATGTATGTAATAGTAGGGATAATAGTTATATGGCAGTTATATTATAACTGCCATATAAAAAACACTGTTATTATGAGTTCTCATCAGCCTTGTATTTTAATTCAGATTACAGTGCAAGTAAACGTACCAACATTGAAATTGTACTACGAAAGCTTATGTCCCGACTGCATTGAGTTCGATTCGACACAGTTCAAAAATGTAGTTGAATTGTTGCATCAGTATGTGGACATTCACACGTATCCTTATGGGAATGCTAGGGTAAGTTTCTGAATTAACTCATATTTTACATAAATGTAATAATGAGGGTTTTCGCGAATGAAAGATCCGCTAGATGGCGGGACGTGGATGTGGGGTCTGACTGCTGCGTGATTGGTGGATTTTGACATATCTGTCAATGTCATGTCAAAAATAACCAATCATGCAGCATTTGGACCTCGCGTCTACGTATTGCCATCTGGCGGATTTTTCATTCGCGAAAACCCTCATTGTGCTAAGTTTGACGACAGCCTGCGTCTTGTCGGTGTCTCTACCCACACCAACAAGACACAAGCCTACGACACGATTCCGTGTAGAAATCGTTTGAAAATAAAGTTGCGGGCTAGACTAAACTTTCGCTGTTGTAGACTTTAAAAGATTTTTTTTCTGTTTTCAGACAGTGAAACATGGCAACAATACTGTAATAATTTGCCAGCATGGGCCAGAAGAGTGCTATGGGAACAAGCTACACGCATGCGCGCTGGACATCATAGCTAACGGCACCGAGGCGATGCTCTTTAACGCCTGCATGATGGCCCAGCGCAGTAATGATACTAGCGCAGACAATGTAAGGCAATTCATTATTTATATTATTGAAAGTATGGATAAATAGTTGAGTTAAGTCATTGATTTTTTAAATTGATAGTAAANTAATGTAACTTGGGTACTTTTAAGACTAGTATTCCGTCTTATACCTCTTCATCACTCACCCACCATCAAAGGAGACGGAGGAAAAATGCAGGCTCAGTTACAAATTCATATCATCAAGGACCCCTTAAAACCTGGTAAAAAAAATGCGCCAAATAACCCTCATAGGTGTTGTGGAAACATGTGCATATAACGAGAACATCTTTTCCAACTTTTTGAATCGTTCTACCTCATAATCGGTGACTCTTAGGAAAAAGGGGTAAAGATAATTTTAATTGATAATATTATGGTCTACTTTTATTTCTTATCTATTTTTATGATAAGTTTACTACTTGGCCAAAAAATGCAAAAATCTTTGGACTTCGAAAACTTTTTTTTAAATGACGGATCGTCGGGGACTTTTGACATTTCAATTAGGATGGTGTTCTCAACATCCACACAAATTTTCAGCTCTATGNGAAAGTAATATTATTGTTTATACTGAATAACATAGGATATTAATTAATACCTAATTTATAATGATACTAGCTTTTGCCCGCGGCTTCACCCGCGTGAAATTTAGTTTGTCACAGATCGTCATAAATTATAGCCTATATGTTATTCTGGGCTATAAACAATAATACTGTAAAGTTTCATCAAAATCCGTTCAGCAGTTATTGCGTGAAAGAGTAACAAAGTTCGAGACATCCAGACATCCACACAAACTTTCGCATTTATAATATTAGTAGGATTGAGTGAACCTGAATTTCAAAAGCAACCGTGTATTCTGTGACTATAGTATAAATTACACTTAACACGTTTTGTATAAAAACACATTAAAATATGTAACTAAATTCTACGTGATTCAAATATTATCTGTCATTTGTTTCAACAAATAGTTTGTGTAAATGTCACAGTTCTTTAGGTATGCAAAGCTTCATTATCATTGAATTTAGAACATACCAATAAATACCTTTAATAATTACGAGTTAGGAATACCAACTACTTACGAATTTTATGTTTTGTCCTCATGACTCCACGTTCTTTACAGAGTAACATACCTGATTAGTATATAAAGTGTAATTCAGTAGTTCTACTGTCAGTATCAAAGTAAAACGTTACTTGAACAATATTTAAGACGTTATACAAAATAATGTTTTTTAATTTTATTGCATTTGCCACTATTCTGGCTTTTATAAATTGTCGAGAAATCGGTACGTAATTAAAACTTCTTAATTAATTAATTTATTATTATATTTTAAAACTTCTTAAACCTTCATTTACAAACAATGAGTCATCTCGTAAGTTACCAATACTACATCTAAAATTGACTAGTCTAAGTTTCCCTCTGTTTTATTATAGATACTCTTTCAAAATGGGGCAGTCTTAACAAACTTATTAAAATTAGTGGAGTTGACGTGCTGATGTCCAACGAGGTAGATATTATAAATTAATATAATTATTATTGTATCCTGGCCGTTATAATGAAAACTAGGCCAGTAGAATTAGATTTTAAATCGCAAATAATTCCAACAAAAGATTTTATTGCTTTAATGGCTTCATTGGTTGCCTATTAAGACTCTCCTAGGTTTTCGACTTTGACGGAGTTGTGCTTAAGTGGTGGGGGCCCCCGAAAGGGGCGCTTTTTAGGTTTTCCGGTTATACTGCGTAAATAAGACCAAATTAATATGTTTTGGACAAACCGTGTGCAAATGTTTGGCAAAGTAGAAAATATGTGTATAATTAATGACCCTCTCCACGTCCAATTGCTCGTCACCCGTAGGTCGTAGCCGTCGCCTTAACCAGCGTAGGTATCCATGTCAAGGCTCACGAGTTGGATTCGCTTATCCTTGTTCGTCCCAGCCGTTCCTTAACTGCGGTTGCTGCACCTCTTCCTGACAAAGTACGACCGATGCAGGGGTTGCTCTTATCAAACACATTTTCGATGCTTGGCAGGAGAAAAGAGATGCTACTGGTGTATTTTGTGACTTATCGAAGGCGTTTGACTGTGTTGATCATCAAACTCTGTTATTTAAGCTAGAACATTATGGCGTATCAGGCAAGGCCTTAAGCCTATTACACTCTTACCTCTCAGACAGATTATAAAAAGTAAATATTCACGGAACTAACTCTTCGGGCGCCCCCCTAAAAATGGGAGTGCCCCAAGGCTCAATACTGGGACCATTGCTCTTTCTGATTTATATGAATGAATTTGGTCTTATTTAATGCAGGAATAAATGCCCTTCAACCATCAGGAAGACCACTTTTCGATAATAAGTCTTTTACGCTGTATAACCTGAAAACCGAAAAAGCGCCCCTTTCGGGGGCCCCCACCGCTTAAGCACAACTCCGTCGAAGTCGAAAACCTAGGAGAGTCTTTATGGGCAAGTAATGAAGCCATTAAAGCACTAAAATATAGAGTTTTTATACATTGTTTTGTATGTAGCTTGCTTTATTTGTTTGAATCTAGCTCACAGTGCAAGTTGATACACCAATTATAAAATTGTACTACGAAGCTCACTGTCCCGGATGTATAGAGTTCGACACGACACAGTTGAAAGAAGTTGTTGAAGTGTTGCACCAGTATGTGGACGTCCACACTTATCCTTACGGAAATGCTAGGGTAAGTTTTCAAACAAAATAATAATATTATACTTACGTATAGTAGAGCAGGCTTTAACCCGAAATAAAACAAAAATACTAATCTTCCCTCATATAATATTTGTACAGATTGACAATAGATTTGAATTATGTATTTTCAGACAGTTATACATGAAGATGGCACTATAGAAGTGACCTGCCAGCACGGACCAGCTGAGTGCTACGGGAATATGCTTCACGCATGCGCGTTAGACATCATAGCTAACGGCACTGAAGCTTTGCTTTTCAACGCTTGCATGATGGACCAAGACAGCAATGATAATAGTGCAGATAAGGTAAACTTTGAACAAGCAATCTTTGGTACTATTTTCAGCATCATTAATAACAGTTAAAACACATAATCAGGCTGCACTACCGCCTTCAGAATTCTCTGACCAAGAGATTTCGCTGTACCTGACAAAACAATTATTATCAGCGCAAACTTCTTCACCAGAAATAAACGGATTTTACTTGAGCGGAGTCCATGGATATTTATTAATTATTATTATTATTTATTAATGTTTACAATTTTATTCCAGTGTGGCGAAAAGATGAACATCAATGCAAGCCCAATAAAGGACTGTGCGAAGAGCCAGAAAGGCACCGATCTCCTTGTTCACTATGGTGAAGAGAGTGAGAAGGCAGGTTTCCAATATGTCCCCTACGTCCTTCTGAATGGGGAAGAGTGGAGAGGGGAAAGCTTATTGAATGATGTGTGTGCAACATTCAAAAATCCGCCTGAACCTTGTACACAATTCTGAAGTTAACGATTAAATAATATGTTTAGAAATATTTTTAAACTGTCATTTTTTTAAATAATAATGTCCTTGGGATTTGTACATGTGTAATAAATAAATTCATTTTCAACCGACTTCAAAAAAGGAGGAGGTTCTCAATTCGACCCGTATGTTTTTTTTCTATGTTTGTTACGCGATATCTCCGCCAATTATGAACCGATTTGAACAAATCTTTTTTCGGCGTATAGGTAATACCTCAAGGGTGGTCCCATTTAAATTTAATAATAGAAAAAACAACCCCCAAGGGGGGAAAATTGGGGATGAACTTTTTTATACGCAATATCTCCGCCGATTATAAATCAATTTGAACGATTATTTTTTTGTTGAATAGATATTATCAAAAGGGTGGTTTCATGCGAATTTGAAGAAAATGTTTCACCCCCAAGGGTGGAAAATTGGGGATGAACTTTTTTATACGCAATATTTTTAATTTTTTGTTTTTTTTTTTGTGTTCACGCATTTGAAGTCGGTTTTAATTTTTTTTAAAGTTAATTATACCAATATAAATGTGNTAAATCTTAATGATTAAGGTTAATTAAATATTAATTTCACTTGAATCGGAGTATAATCACAATTATACGTAGCTAAGTAAATAGGTAGTCTATACTTATCACGCACTTAGACCAGCAGACAACATGACATTGATATTTCTCCAATGCAAAATTATTTTGTAGTAATTTCCTTATCTAAATTACGCACACAACTTCATATAAAATACATAATATAAAATAATATGACCATTTCTGAACTTAATCTAACATGTCGAATCACATTAAATTATTATGAAGTACCATGTGAATATATTCCAGTGTTATTGCCAGTGTATTATCACACACATACGAGAAAGCACGTTCATTTAGTGGAGATAACAATATTATAATGTTCCTACGCCAGTTTATATTGTTTGCTACTGTTTTAGTTATTACGAATTCTCAGGATATTGGTACGTATTAAATTTTAAATTTAATGACATTCAGTGAACTTAATTCGAACCTGAAAAGATTGCTTTTCCTATTACAGAAATTCTCTCCAATGCATTAGATAGTGTGAATACGCCGATAAAAGTCATCGAGGCTGATTTCATTTTTATTAAAGAAAAGGTAAACAAATGGTATAACTAGGTACCTACTAACTATCGCCTGAACATTTGCGCGTATCAAAAATATTATTTTAGTTTTAATTTAGTTCTTTGAGTAATGATATTATGTTGTTGGGTTTATTTCTTATCTAAAACTCTAATTAAGCTGTTTAATTTACTAATTCACTTATCAGCGGAACTGTGGGTTAAAGTTAATTTTGTTTCTGACGCATCTATCAAATCATATATGGCAGTTATATTATTATAACTGCCATATAAAAATCACTGTTATGAGTTCTCATCAGCCTTGTATTTTAATTCAGATTACAGTGCAAGTAAACGTACCATCATTGAAATTGTACTACGAAAGCTTATGTCCCGACTGCATTGAGTTCGATTCGACACAGTTCAAAAATGTAGTTGAATTGTTGCATCAGTATGTGGACATTCACACGTATCCTTATGGGAATGCTAGGGTAAGTTTCTGAATAACTCAGATTTTACATAAATGTAATAATGAGGGTTTTCGCGAATGAAAGATCCGCTAGATGGCGGGACGTGGATGTGGGGTCTGACTGCCGCGTGATTGGTGGATTTTGACATATCTGTCAATGTCATGTCAAAAATAACCAATCATGCAGCATTTGGACCTCGCGTCTACGTATTGCCATCTGGCGGATTTTTCATTCGCGAAAACCCTCATTGTGCTAAGTTTGACGACAGCCTGCGTCTTGTCGGTGTCTCTACCTACACCAACAAGACACAAGCCTACGACACGATTCCGTGTAGAAATCGTTTGAAAATAAAGTTGCGTGCTAGACTAAACTCTCGCTGTTGTAGACTTTAAAAGATTTTTTTTCTGTTTTCAGACAGTGAAACATGGCAACAATACTGTAGTAATTTGCCAGCATGGGCCGGAAGAGTGCTATGGGAACAAGCTACACGCATGCGCGCTGGACATCATAGCTAACGGCACCGAGGCGCTGCTCTTTAACGCCTGCATGATGGCCCAGCGCAGTAATGATACTAGCGCAGACAATGTAAGGCAATTCATTATTTATATTATTGAAAGTATGGATAAATAGATGAGTTAAGTCATTGATTTTTTAAATTGATAGATAAGAAGGTACCTATAATGGTCTTCAATCGGCTAAACATATTTTCTTGGTCATAAAACACCCTCAAATTGCTACTCAAACTAATTGAAGTTTAATTATATATTTTCAATGCACTAGCTGCAGTTTTAACATAACTTTGTTAATAAAATGACAGCCAATCGACATCATAGCTAACGGCACCGAGGCGCTGCTCTTTAACGCCTGCATGATGGCCCAGCGCAGTAATGATACTAGCGCAGACAATGTAAGGCAATTCATTATTTATATTATTGAAAGTATGGATAAATAGTTGAGTTAAGTCATTGATTTTTTAAATTGATAGTAAAGAAGGTACCTATAATGGTCTTCAATCGGCTAAACATATTTTCTTGGTCATAAAACACCCTCAAATTGCTACTCAAACTAATTGAAGTTTAATTATATATTTTCAATGCACTAGCTGCAGTTTTAACATAACTTTGTAAATAAAATGACAGCCAATCTTTGATACCTAATAATACATATATTATTCGTTACAAAATAAGTAGTTAGTAGTTACTTCCTCATATCGATCGAAATCTTGTTTACAGTGTGGAGAACGCATGAACATCAAAGTGGACTCAATCAAGGAATGTGCTAAGAGCCAAAAAGGCACCGATCTTCTGGTGCATTACGGGGAAGAGAGCAAGAAAGTCGGTTTCGGATACGTCCCTTATGTCCTTCTCAATGGCGTCGAGTGGCAAGGAAATAACCTCTTGAGTGACTTGTGTGCGACTTTCAAAAACCCGCCAGAACCTTGCAGATCAAAGTAGGATNAATAGGCTGTAAGATAGAGCTGTTCATTTGAAATGTCTCCGCCATCCGAACAAATTTTATCATTAGTAATGAATATAATGACCAATCTATAAGTTAAAAATCGTTTGATTAATACATATACTTGTCCCTTACTTAAATTATGACCTCAAATGAGCTTTATGATGAACACTATCCACATTTTTATTTTATAACATATTTCTGCAGTGGTGCTTGGTATGAAAGTATCTATAGAAGTTTGTCTTGTAACAACTAACAACAGAGCTATTATTTACAAATTTATAGAGATGATAAAATTCTTGTGAGATAAATGGGAAAACAATTACGCATAATGCTTTGTTAAAGCTATTAGCGCTCTTTTATCATTATCAGTGGTCAGAATGCAAAAGGGACACTGACAATTTACAAATAGCAGACAGACAGTCTCCGACCGCATAGCCGTTAGTATTTTTGCTGTAGCGTTTGTTACTTGCATATAAATCATGAAAGGTTTGACAGTAATTATTATTGTTGTGTTGTGCTGTGCCGCCTCAGAAAGAACTTTAGCAATGAATATTAACTCGCAGTCCATTCGTAAGTATTAAAGAAACTTCATAACCATGAGTCTACGAGTATTACATTTAGGGTGGATTCGACCAAACAAGAAAAATATATAATCTCAACACAAATCGTCAGTTATTCGACATTTTGACATAATATTTCCCATACTGAAACTGTCAATGTGCCAGTTATACCAGGAGTTATTCTCGGATAAAAGTTTGGTCGAATCGGGCCTTAATTTTCTAGCTTTATTCCAAGATCAATACAAAATACTTATTGCATTAATGATGTGTATGTCAATATTCTAACAGGAAATCAAGAAATAGTAGAATTAGTATTTCTACCTGAATATGATAAAGTGCAAGTCGTACTACTATATGAGACATTATGTCCGGCTTGCAGGCAATTTGATACGAGTGACTTTAAGTTACTGATCCAGGAACTGGACCTATATGTAGATATTCACACTTACCCATATGGAAATGCACACGTAAGTAATTTTCGAGTACTTTTGGGTACAAGGTGGACTGATGACCTCACAAAGGTTGCAGATAGGTGCTGAATGCAGGACACTGCCAAACTGCAATCTGAAAACCATTGGAGGAAGCCTATGTTCAGCAGTGGATATCCTGTGTGGCTGAAATGATGATCATGTTGAAGATCGCAAATACGAATTTCATCTTACTTTAGAATCGGAAAAGCGAGCTTTCATGGAAAATCTTAACACGAAAATTTATTTTTGCTGCTTACAATCAAGTCATTTGAAACGTCCTTTTCTTGTCCACAGGAAAAAGTAATAAATAACGAAACCGTGACAGTTTGCCAACATGGTCCAACGGAATGCTATGGGAACATGCTGCATGGGTGTGCGCTGAACCTCCTAAGCAATACCACTAAGGCACAACTCTTCAACAGCTGCACAATGGAATCGCAGTACACAGACGCATCTTTTGATGATGCTGCTTACCAAGTAAGTTGTAACCTTATTAGTATTTAAAATACAGTAATTAGATAACAATGCCTTGCAGCACTAGGCGTTGCCGGTCCAGTAAGGGAGACTGCAAGTATGACGTTGAAAATAGAGCTAATATTTTAATTACTTTTTCAGTGTGGAAGTAAAATGTACATCGCAGCAGATAAAATAGTGGAGTGCGCTAAGAAAGATGAGGCCAAACTAATTTTATCAGCATACGGGAAGAAATCCAGAAAGTACACGTACGATTATGTACCCTTCGTTGTTATTAATGGAAAGGAATGGACAAACCACGATCAGGATTTGATAAAAGTTGTATGCGCAGAATTCAAAAATCCTCCTCCTCCTTGTAAACAATATCTATAGATACTTAGTAATTACTTATTAAAGTAAATCTTCTACTTTAAATCTCTTATCTTTATCTCAAAAACAACCTAAGTACATAGAGTCTATAATCGATTAAAAATATTAATATATCATGTTATCAAACACAATAATTCTGTTACATAAACGAGTAGGATGACAAAAATACTTGAATCGTTTATTTTTATTTGGCATTCTTATATGAGAGATTGAAAGTATCTCAGTAATTTTCACTTTGTATAAACACAATTACGCATAGTGGGCGTATAATATACTTAGTTAGTTGCTTCCTGACTCTACATGCAGAATTATTTCGAAAAATAAAATTGCCGACTTATAAATTTGCTAAATTTCTAGTTTCCAAGGAATAGGAATTTTGCCAAACAGACATTAGTTGTATAAGTATTAGACTGTGTACTTATATGGTGCGAAGTCCACCACATTGTTGCCACTTTCTTAGAAAATATTGTACTCTGCGTCTATTTACATAAGAACATGGTATATTTTACACCAGACACAACTTCAATCACGAGTGCCATTTACTGATAAATAAGGACGTTGTAAATAGCTGTCTTTATAAATTGACACCGTTAATCTAACTAAATAGATAATTCTTAACACTAATTTGCCAATTCCCTTATTTGTTTTGAGGCCATATTTAAAATATCCGTTAAACTATCCAAATTATCATTTCCTTAAGAGCTTTATCTAGCTAACGGTCAATAGGCTAGAGTCGAGAATACTTCCATCGTTAAATTAGTGATAGTCGAGTCTTCTGCTTGGATAAAAGTGTTAAAAGTGATAATAGCGCAATGAATCTTTTAAATATTATACCGATTATTTTATTTAGCGTTATGTGTGAAACTTTGGAAGTAAACGACAAGTCACAGCACTACGGTAAACATTAATACAAAAATAATGAGCTAATAAAACATAACCTAGTTACTAAACGTTTACTTACATGTTATTTCTAGGTAATAACAGCAGAGACAAGTTGGAATTCAATGAAAACAATACAAATAAGGTCGGTATTCACATTTTTTTTACATGCATTTCTGTAAAAGTGATTTCAAGTTTAGTTATTCTACTTCGAATATTTGTAGAATTCTGTAGTTTTAAAACTTGCTGTTAAGAAAATATAGAACAAAAGATCACATAAAGATTTAACTACACAATTTCTTAGAACATAACGTCAAATAACACCTGAATTTCTACGAGTATACGAGTAAGTGTTCATAAATATTATTTTATACAGGTTTCGGCAACAGAGGATTATCCGAAAAATAAAGTACAAATAAAAGTGTACTACGAATCCCTTTGTCCAGGCAGTATCGACTTTTTCAAGAATCAACTCCGCCCCGCAGTACAGGCGCTCGCACCATTCTTGGACATACATTTGGTGCCTTACGGAAATGCCAAGGTATGTAATGTTAAATATATTTTTCTGATTTTATTGTATAGTAAGATCAAAGCTGCAATATTCTGGAAGACGAAGATTGACTGATGAATATGGGTCGTAATCATAAACAACTTAAAAATGTTTATGGGATCCAGGAGAACTCAATATAAAAGACACATAATTATAATAATGGTTTCTACATTATTAATCGCACCCACCAACTGAATGATATAAATATAATTAAAAGTTAACAATCGCTACACACTTACATTTTATAGCTGTAAACGCACAGAAAACATAGCAGTAGTAGTAGTAACTATTAATGAAAAGACCACATATTAATGTTTTTTTTATTAATTATTATTTAAAAATCATATTTTAGCGATATTAGTGCCTACTGAAAATAGCATGTAGGTTAGGTTAGGTTGCATCAAAAATCATCAATTTTTCTTTTTTCATTTCATATTTTATTTTCATTGTTTTCCAGACGCGTGAAGTGTCTGGACATTTTTATTTTAAGTGCCAGCACGGGCCAGAGGAGTGCTTCGTCAACAGACTTCACGCGTGTGCTGTGGATGTCCTGAGGAATGAGTCTCAGGCCGTGATTTTCAACGCCTGCCTCATGCAATACAGCAAGTTTAGGAGGCTCCCAAAGTTTGATTACCGCATAGTGGTTAGCTGGGTAAGTTTGAAAGGATGAAGAATACAAGTTTTATCATATTCCATTAATGTAAACCATCTCATTAATTGAAAATGTCAGATTATTATTTATTTTAAAATCTTTTCATTTTCAACTGCAAAAGAAAGTCCTAGGCTAACCAATACAAATAATCCTACTAATATTTTAAATGCGAAAGTTTGGATGTCTGGATGTTTGTAACTCTTTCACGCAAAAACTACTGAACGGATTTTGATGAAACTTTACAGCATTATTGTTTATAGCCCCTAATAACATATAGTCTATAATTTATGACGATCTGTGACAACGGAAATTTCACGCGGGTGAAGCCGCGGGCAAAAGCTAGTAATATATAATAATCGAATAATTTCCTGTGACACTTTAAAGTTTTCATTTGTCCAACATTTTCAAGTTCCTGTCAACTAAGAACGTAACAAGGCGTATACCATTTTAGGACGAGCTTTTACTATTCAAAATTATGTTTCATTTATTTCAGTGCAATTACACACTACAGTTACGAACCCAGGGGATTTGGGAATGCGTTAACGGAGACCGAAGTTCTGCTTTGCTCAAGGCTTACGGAGAAGAAACACGAGCCCTCAGGATTTCGTACGTCCCGTACGTCGTATTAGGGAGTTCAACAGATGGCCCAGACGATGCTGGTGGTGATCTTATGTCCACGATATGTCATAAGTTAAGCCCAGCACCACCGCCTTGTGATAAATGGATAAGAACTTAATTAGTAAAACATATTAACATTAAGAACAGTTTTATTACCTCAATGGATATTTTACCCAAACCACAAAAGGCTAGTTCTTATCAAAATGATAATAGCCCGTTTATAAAGTGATTTTATAGTTTATGTGTAAAATGTGACATCATTTAATACAGTAAATTGCCTAATCTATTCTTTAACTGTTGGAAAATGAAAACACAAAAGCAGTGGAACGCCTGCGTCCAAACCAAAGGCAATATCCGGGCTAGGAAGCTTTCTTTACACGGCAGAAACTAAATCACAACACATCGTGAGGCAAGCCACGACCGATTTACAGCTTGAAAATTGCGTTTAAAAATGTGCTATAGAACATTTTACTGGATTTGCCTTAAATTTCACTGAAAAAGAGTTGAACGCGAATACATTTTGAAACATTACACACCTACAAGTGGAAACGTGTAAGCATCATAAAAGTTTGCTATTTCAACAACACATTGTCATTGACACTTCTCAAAACGAGTAACAAAAGCGCAACGGAATCAGAAAACCATCTGATATAATTCTAAAATCCTGGAATAGTCCCAAATCTCAGAACAATAGTTTCAGCATTCACCGCTTCCATTGTCCCGGGATTTCAAAGTACGCGCCCCCGGGGCCATAACATATACGAGAGCACACGTGGACAATTCCCACACAGTCAGGGCTCACGCCAACTGTTATTATTCCCGACTCGCAACTAAATACAAAGTTGCAAACAAAGGTTTTTCTCCCCAAAATTGGGATGAAATTGGCTAAAATAACAATTTATATTGATGCATAGCAAATATCGTTTAAATGTGAGGCAGATTTTATTGGAATACAAAGTAAGAAGATTAAAATAATATTGATTTATTTGTAGATAAATATTGTCCCCAACATACAAAATAAAATAAATAGTGATTAACTGCTGCTTTACGGTACGGTATCCTTATTCCTCAACTCACCATGGAAATTACATTGTGCTCGTATTATAACACAAAAACCTATTTGAAAAACTATACATTCAGGGACAGTTATACCCAACAGTGGGAACACTGGGTAAACGACAACAAACAGCGTCATGCCGACTTCCGACTTCGTAATTACGCGACATTAACAATGGGGAATTTAATTTGCATAAGCAATAGGCCTGACAATACATTGTGCCTATATGGCCAACGGAGAATGTTAATATGGCTACTATTACCACATAATAAGTACTAGTTTACTGAAGACTAAAGGTTAAGGAGCTTCTGTAAAATTACTTCTTTAGAGACTCAAATGGATCGTTACAAGCCACAGTGAAATACTCGTACTTAATCGATTGCTTTTAGTACGTAGTTTATTAAATATGTACCATGAAATATCTATCATCCACTGGAACATTAATGTTAATAATTATGTAATTTAATATTGTATTATTGTTACTTGAATTACTTAGCCGACTCCTTATTATTTCTATCTAACTCAGATTATCGATTCGATGATATTGTTAGTATGCGATTGTAGGCGTTCATAGGTAACTTTTTTGTACTTACTAGAAATCATTACTCTAGTAAGAGGTAACAGTTAAACAGTAGGAATAATCTTAATCTAATATTATAAAAAAATATTTATAAATAAGAAACATCATTCAATCATACTACTACTTAATTAATTGTCATTTTATTTGATAAACTCCTTTGAGTTCAACTCGGTGTCAAAGATAAACCGAAATAGACCATGCAATCAATGTAAAAGCCACGTAAATTGAATCAGTGAAAATAATTACAAAAACAAATATAATAATAGCCCAGATACAATCGCCATCAACCCACACAAGTCATTAACATTACAAAGTCTATGAATGACTCGAGCCATACATTTTTCGATATTAATGGCGGTCAGTTAGGTCCAAGTAAAAGGCTCGGTATGCAGTCGGTATAGTGCAACGATGAATCACGTAACAGGCATCTCGAATATTTGTTCTTATGACTAAGAGTCGATATTTACTCATTGGCCATAAAGTTTTATACATATTTAAAACCAGTTACGATAAAACTGAGGTGCTTTGTACAAGTGTCATTTATGTTGTTAAAACATGTCTTTGTCCATATCTAGAAGAATGTATTAATCAAAGGAAGTATTTACTTTCACTTGCGAATTCCGAAGTCAGTCCCACGACCCGAGGGGATAAAACTAATTAATACTCAGAACATTGCTCAAACACCGTTGTAGCTCCTCGACGTGTCCCCTAAGGTCCAATTAATTCCGATCCAGACGGTATTGTAATGTAGTTACGAGTGTCAATCAAGGGCTTAGTGGTGGCCTTTGTGAGCTTTGTGCATGAAATAGTACTGAGGTAGTCCACGATGCGACTATAACAATTCTATGAACTTCCTTAACATGATGAATGATGAAAAACCTGCATACCTACCTCTACTTTCAGCAGATACCTACCTATAACCAAAGATAAAAGAATGCTAGTGGTTGTCGTATCAATAATTTTAACAAAGCTGCATTCTAGAAATCAAAGGATCTTTAATAACAGAACAATTATACGTTAGTAAGTAGGAAATACTGAAATAAATTAGGATATTATGTACTCAATATATAATTTATTTGTTAGAGTAATTTAGTGTATTTTCGGATAATGCCTGTGCTGTGATGCCTTTAGCCTTTACCGACTTCAATAATCGTAGATATTTATTGGAAATCTAAAGCCAATCCTTCAAAAGAGAAACACTTTAACTTACTTTTTCTCAATCAAAATCAAGCAAACTGACAGCCCAATCGTAAATAATAATTGTTTTTCTATCAATCTACAATAGCGTACTAAAATAAAATTATAGTACATACCTACCTTTTCAGTATCGATTCGTAAGTACTGGAATAACAAAATAGAGATTCAGTAACGGTGCAGACATGTATTGTATTATGTATGTATGTACTTATATGTATAGTATACGAGTAATAGGACTACGTGACTACGGCGCTACGACATGTGGATAGGTACCTATCTAATTTGTTCTACAACATTCTCGAAGCACCTACAAGTTTATTAGGTATACTTACTAAACAATACATAAAACTTATTACGAGTAGAAAACACTCAATACAAACACAAGTTTAAAGAATATAACATAAAGTCTAATATTTAGAACATAAGGATATTTATTACTCAGTAAATACAACTAAAATAAAACATTTAAAAAAACTTATTCAAGCAAGATGCCAAAGATCATTAGCTATCATAAAAACATGACGTGCTGTGTTGCGACGGAAAAGTCGTGCATGCTCGTGAAAAACCATCGTTTTTCTTTAAATAAAGTTGTATGTTTTTAGTTCGCGCAATTTGCAGCACTAATCCGTGCAGCAATATAAACGCTGACTACACAGGGTGTCCCAAAAAGAACGTGCCAAACTTAAGGAGATGATAGATTAATGGATGACTATTTTACAAAAAAAATCTTTCCTGAAGTTCATTATTTCCTTAACTTTGGCACGGTCTTTACGGGATACCCTGTATGTAGTTACAGAGCTTCTCTTCCTTCTGCATGTAAACGGTAAAGACGTGACGTAGCGTGGGCAGGCCTCCTACTAGGTGGACCGACGATCTGGTAAACGGTAAAACAGTCAAATAAACATGGTGCTTAAATGCCCGCAGGCGTGGTGTTGTCTTACCCGCTACAACGTTAGGTGGTTCAAATTCCGCTAGAGCAAATGTTAGTGTGACGAGCACCCGGAGTGTTGTACTTGTAGTATATACAGGTAGCATGCATAAAGTATCTATTTTACGAAAATATACTTGTTTACCCGTTATCTAGTCGCCATAATAAGCTCAGTTTGGAGCTTGGAGAATTTATTGTTATTAAACGACAGTAGAGCTTTTAACATTCTGTGCATTATTTTCCCTGCAGCAAAGTCATACTTATTCATGCATACAAGATTATGTCCCGATAAATTGTTTTTTATGACCGCACCTATATCAAATTAGTAACTTTATCACAAGATAATTCTCCCAAGACCCAGCACTTGAACTCTACATAAATTGAGAAGACACCACAGTATTATGTGCATAACTTAATATTCGCTTTCCTCCCAGGAACACAGTTTCCTATCTATTTCCCGCACTACATCAACTGAATTGAAACTATACTGAGTGTAGTAATATAGTTTGAGCCGATCCAAAGTTTTGGCAAGGCGCGCCTCATTGCAGACGCAAATTATCACATACCGTGCAAAGTTTCAGGAGATGAATATGTAAATCGAGTTAATTCAGCGATTCTTCGTTATTTTTTTTTTTTTCAGAAAGAATAATGTCTCATTCCGCCTCGAAAAGAGTTAGTTACAGAGTATAGCCTAATTAATTCTTTTATTCTATCTATTTTACTCCTTTTATCAAAATATTGGCGGAATTTTTGAATTCGAATGGTTAGATTTCGAGATCACTCATTGCATTTAACTTTTAACTTAGTCCATAAACTATTAAAAATGATAACCACCGTAAACCTATGCCGATATGATTATAAAGGGTATAAATAAACACCCTTTAAACACACCTAATGCGGATCAAACATTTTCACTTATTTTAGATTAGGTATTACCTTGGGGAAAATTGCTTTTCATAGATAGACCGCAAATATGCGATGGAAAAATATAGTAAAGAGGGTGACGGGATTAGATTGGATGCAAATATTCCATGTAATTTATCATTCGCATTCTCACTCGCCGAGGTTTAATAACGGTCCGTTATTTACATGAAACCAACTCAAATAAATTCTGAGCTAGACTCGCAAAATATTCACGAATATTAATAAAAGTAATACGCCTGAAACCCAAAGCAAATAACTGTATAAGCTGTGCCAGTAGTATGTACGTTAACGCACTCATGCGTGATAGAATACCATGATTCGCAGCAAAAATATTCATGTTCAGCTTGAAATAAAGATTGATATCGAATGAACAGGTGACGGTAGGAATGGAATATTCAGTGGTATTTCACTTGTAACCCTCGAGTAAGCCGTCGAATGCCTAGTTGGAATAATTTGCAAGCCGACTACGGCGAGAGCTTTGACAACCCTTGC